GGATGGATGGATGGATGGATGGATAGACAGATAGATAGATGGACGGATGGACGGATGGACGGACGGATGGATGGATAGAGAAAAAGGGAGAATAAGTGAGGGGAATAGATACACAAAAAGAGAAAGATGAAAAAGAAAGAGGGAGAGAGAGATGCAGGGGTGAAAGAGAAACGGAGGATGGAAAGAGGGAAAGAGGGAGGACAGATAGATGGAGGAAAGAGGAAAAAGAGAGAGAGGGAGGGAGGGATAGATAGATAGATGGATGGATGGATGGAGAGAGATGGATGATAGAAAGAAAGAATAGATAGAAAGAGGGAGGATAGATAGAGGTAAATATATAAATACAAAAAAAAGATGGAAAAGAGAAAGAGGGAGAGAGAAGGAGAGAGGGGAGGGGTGTGAGAAAAAGAGGGAGGATGGATGGATGGATAGATGGATAGATAGATAGATAGACAGATGGACGGATGGACGGATGGATAGATAGATGGATAGATAGACACATGGACGGATGGATGGATAGATAGATAGATAGATAGATAGATAGATAGATAGATAGATAGATAGATAGACAGATGGACGGATGGATGGATAGATAGATGGATAGATAGATAGATAGATAGATAGATAGATAGATAGATAGATAGATAGATAGATAGATAGATAGATAGATAGATAGATAGACAGATGGACGGATGGATGGATGGATGGATAGAGAAAAAGGGAGAATAAGTGAGGGGAATAGATACACAAAAAGAGAAAGATGAAAAAGAAAGAGGGAAAGAGAGGCAGGCGTGAGAGGGAAAGAGGGAGGATAGATGGATAGATGAATAGACAGATAGACACAAAGAAAGAGGGAGGAGGGAAAGGAAATATTGAGAGAAAGGGAGGGGGTGGGAAAGAGAAGGAGGATGGATAGAGAGAAAGAGGAAGACAAAAAAAGAGAGAGGGAGAGAGGAGGGATGTGAGAAAGAAGGATGAATGGATAGAGATGAATAGATAGATAAATAGAAAGATGAAAAAGAGAAGGAGAGAAAGGAGGAGGATGGATGGATGGATGGATGGATAGAGGTGAAGATATAGACACGTGAAGAGAAAAATGAAAAAGAGAAAGAGGGAGGATGGATAGATACATACAGAGAAAGATGAAAAAGAAAGAGAGAGGAAGAGAGAAGGGGTGAGAGAAAGAAGAATGGATAGATAGACACAAATAGAAAGATGAAAAAGAGAGAGGATGGATGAATAGATAAAAAGAAAAAGAGAGGGAGGGAGAAAGAGCGCGGATAGAGAGAAGTGAACAGATAGAGAAATTAAGATAGACGGATAGAGACATAAATAGAAAGATGAAAGAAAGAAAGAGGGAGGGAGAGAGAGAGGAGGGGTGTGAGAAAGAAAGAGGATGGACAGATAGAGGCGAATAAAAAGAAACAAAGAGAAAGATGAAAACAAGAGAGAGAGAGCGTGAGAAAGAAAAAGAAAGAAAGAACGAATAGATAAGTGGGGGAATAGATAGACAAAAAGAGAAAGACGAAAAAGAGAGATGGAGGGAGGGATAGAGAGATACATAAACAGAAAGATGAAAAAGAGAGGGGGAGAGAAAGAGGGGGATAGATGGATGGATAGAAGGATGGATGGAAGGATGGATGGATAGATGGAAGGATGGATGGAAGGATAGATGGAAGGATGGATGGATAGATGGAAGGATGGAAGGATGGATAGATGGAAGGATGGATAGATAGATGGAAGGATGGATGGAAGGATAGACTGAAGGAAGGATGGATAGATGGAAGGATGGAAGGATGGATGGATGGAAGGAAGGATGGATAGATGGAAGGATGGATGGATGGATAGATGGAAGGATGGAAGGATGGATAGATGGAAGGATGGATAGATAGATGGAAGGATGGATGGGTGGATAGATGGAAGGATGGATGGGTGGATAGATGGAAGGATGGATGGAAGGATAGACGGAAGGAAGGATGGATAGATGGAAGGACGGATAGATGTAAGGATGGATAGATAGATGTAAGGATGGATGGAAGGATGATAGATGGATGGATGGATAGATGGAAAGATGGATGGAAGGATGGATGGATAGATGGAAGGATGATAGATAGATGGAAGGATGGATGGAAGGATGGATGGATAGATGGAAGGATGGAAGGATGGATAGATGGAAGGATGGATAGATGGAAGGATGGATGGATAGATGGAAGGATGATAGATAGATGGAAGGATGGATGGATGGATAGATGGATAGATGGAAGGATGGATGGAAGGATGATAGATGGATGGATGGATGGATGGATAGATGGAAAGATGGATGGAAGGATGGATGGATAGATGGAAGGATGATAGATAGATGGAAGGATGGATGGAAGGATGGATGGATAGATGGAAGGATGGAAGGATGGATAGATGGAAGGATGATAGATAGATGGATGGATGGATGGAAGGATGGATGGATAGATGGAAGGATGGATGGAAGGATGGATGGATAGATGGAAGGATGGATAGATAGATGGATGAATAGATGGATAGATGGAAGGATGGAAGGATGGATGGATGGAAGGATGGATGGATAGATGGGAGGATGGAAGGATGGATGGACAGATGGAAGGATGGATAGATGGAAGGATGGATGGATAGATGGAAGGATGGATAGATGGAAGGATGGATAGATAGATGGAAAGATGATGATAGATGGAAGGAAGGATGGATAGATGGAAGGATGGATAGATAGATGGATAGATGGAAGGATGGGTGGATGGATGGACAGATGGAAGGATGGATAGATGGAAGGATGGATAGATAGATGAAGGATGATGATAGATGGAAGGAAGGACGGATAGATGGATAGATGGAAGGATGGGTGGATAGATGGAAGGATGGATAGATGGATGAATAGATGATGGATAGATGGATGGAAGGATGGAAGGATGGATGGAAGGATGAGTGTATAGATGGAAGGATGGATAGATGGATGGATGGATGGATGGAAGGATGGATAGATGATGGATAGATGGAAGGATGAGTGTATAGATGGAAGGATGGATGGATGGGTGGATGGATAGACTAAAAGCAAGAAAGAGAGAGAAGAGTGAAAGAGAGAAAGAGGGAGTGTAGATGGATAAATAAACAGACGGATGGATGGATGACTAGAGAGAGATAAAGATAGATGGAAAAATAGAAAGAGAGAGAGAGACAGAAGGACGGAGAAACAGGGAGGACAGATAGATAAATAAATAAAGAGATAAATAGAGCGAATGATGGACGGACAGACTGAGATAAACATAAATAAAGAGAGACGAGAGAGAAATGAACAGATGAATAGAGAGAGAGAAAGAAAGAAGGAGACACAGGAAGGATAGACAGATAAAGACGGAGAGAAAAAGAGAGAGAGACGAAGTTATAGACAGACGGAAAACCAAAGACAAACTGTTAAAAAGAAAGAAAGAGAGATGGACAGAAAAGAGGAGAGGAGAGGGAGGATGGAGGGATGGGGCCTCAGGGGGAAGAGAATAAAAAAGTGAACGTGTGGGAGGTTTTTGGAGGAGGATGAAAGAAGAAGAAGAAGAGTTTTGGACACAGATTTGCAGCTGGAGTTTTGTGTTTTTATATGAATTATTGTTAAAAAGGACAAAGCCTCAGTTTGATCTGTGAAAACGTGAGAAAAAAACAAATAAATAAAATATTATTAAATAAACATAAGTGCAGCACCGTGGAATATTTTTAATCTAATCTCCTACTGATGCCCTCCAAACACGGCATCGTTTAGACCTGGTTTAGACCTGGTTTAGTCCTGGTTTAGTCCTGGTTTAGTCCTGGTTTAGTCCTGGTTTAGTCCTGGTTTAGAGTCCTGGTTTAGTCCTGGTTTTTAGACCTGGTTTAGACCTGGTTTAAACCTGGTTTAGACCTGGTTTAGTCCTGATTTTAGTCCTGATTTAGTCCTGATTTTAGTCCTGGTTTTTTTCTGGTTTTAGTCCTGGTTTTAGTCCTGGTTTTAGTCCTGGTTTAGTCCTGGTTTTAGTCCTGGTTTTAGTCCTGGTTTAGTCCTGGTTTAGACCTGGTTTTAGACCTGGTTTAGTCCTGGTTTTAGTCTTGGTTTAGTCCTGGTTTTAGTATTGGTTTAGTCCTGGTTTAGACCTGGTTTAGTCCTGGTTCAGTTCAGGTTTAGTCCTGGTTTAACCTGGTTTAGTCCTGGTTTAGTCCTGGTTTAGACCTAGTTTAGTCCTGGTTCAGTTCAGGTTTAGTCCTGTTTTAGTCCTGGTTTAGACCTGGTTCAGTCCTGGTTTTAGTCCTGTTTAGTCCTGGTTTTAGTCCTGATTTAGTCCTGTTTTAGACTTGGTTTAGACCTGGTTTTAGTCCTGGTTTTTAGTCCTGATTTAGTCCTGGTTTAGACCTGTTTTAGTCCTGGTTTTAGTCCTGTTTTAGACCTGTTTAGTCCTGGTTTAGTCCTGGTTTAGACCTGGTTTAGTCCTGGTTTAGACCTGGTTTAGACCTGGTTTAGTCCTGTTTTAGACTTGGTTTTAGACCTGGTTTTAGTCCTGGTTTTAGTCCTGATTTAGTCCTGGTTTAGTCCTGTTTTAGTCCTGGTTTAGACCTGTTTTAGTCCTGGTTTAGACCTGGTTTAGTCCTGTTTTAGTCCTGGTTTAGTCCTGTTTTAGTCCTGTTTTAGTCCTGTTTTAGACTTGGTTTAGACCTGGTTTAGTCCTGATTTAGTCCTGTTTTAGTCCTGATTTAGACTTGGTTTAGACCTGGTTTAGTCCTGGTTTAGACTTGGTTTAGTCCTGGTTTAGACCTGGTTCAGTCCTGGTTTAGTCCTGTTTTAGTCCTGGTTTAGACCTGTTCTCTACCACCAATTATCTTTGTGTTTTTTTTTTATTTTATTTAACCTAACCTAAAAAAAAGTCAGTTTGAACCTCCTTCTGTAGTTTAAAATATGTCAAAATAAAAAATATATGACAGGTTTTTGGGTGAAATGTTGAAAAAGCTGGACTCACGCTGAATGGCCCGTAACCTGGGTCCAAAGGAGGGAGACGACCCGGAGCCCAGGTCGGGGGAGTTTCTTCTCTTCTCCAGACCCGGAGACGCCTGCACCGTGATCTTATGGATGAAATCTGGAAAAAAAAAAACAAGAACAACAGTGAGAACAGAAAGAGACTCGAACTCTTCAAATCAAATATTTAAAACCACAAGTCCAGGTCTGTTTTTGACGACGCAACGACTTCATAACACGAAAGTCAAATCTGTGTGATGTGCAAGTTTAAAATGTAAAATATGACTGATCCAGGACTAAACCAGGACTAAACCAGGACTAAACCAGGACTAAACCAGGAGGACTAAACCAGGACTGAACCAAGGACTAAACCAGGACTAAAACCAGGACTGACCAAGGACTAAACCAGGACTAAACCAGGACTAAACCAGGACTGGAACCAAGGACTTAAACCAGGACTAAACCAGGACTGAACCAGGACTAAACCAGGACTAAAACAAGGACTAAACCAGGACTAAACCAGGACTAAACCAGGACTAAACCAGGACTGAACCAAGGACTAAACCAGGACTGAACCAGGACTAAACCAGGACTAAAACAGGACTGAACCAGGACTAAACCAGGACTAAACCAGGACTAAACCAGAACCAAAAACCAGGACTGAAACCAGGACTAACCAGGACTAAACAGGACTGAAACATGACTGAAACAGGACTAAAACCAGGTCTAAACCAGGTCTAAACTAGATCTAAACAAGGACTAAACCAGGACTAAACCAGGTCTAAATCAGGTCTAAACCAGGACTAAACCAGGACTGAACCAGGACTAAACCAAGGACTAAACCAGGTCTAAAACCAGGACTGAACCAGGTCTAAACTAGGACTGAACCAGGTCTAAACCAGGACTGAACCAGGACTAAACCAGGACTGAAACATGACTGAAAACAGGACTAAAACCAGGTCTAAACCAGGTCTAAACTAGATCTAAACAAGGACTAAACCAGGACTAAACCAGGTCTAAATCAGGTCTAAACCAGGACTAAACCAGGACTAACCAGGACTAAACAAGACTAAACCAGGACTAAACCAGGACTGAACCAGGGACTAAACCAGGACTAAACCAGGGACTAAACCAGGACTGAACCAGGGACTAAACCAGGACTAAACCAGGACTGAACCAGGGACTAAACCAGGACTAAACCAGGACTAAACCAGGACTAACCAGGACTTAAACCAGGACTAACCAGGGACTAAACCAGGACTAAACCAGACTAAACCAGACTGAACCAGGGACTAAACCAGGACTAAACCAGACTAAACCAGGACTAAACCAGGACTAAACCAGGACTAAACCCCAGACTAAATCAGGACTAAACCAGGACTGAACCAGGACTAAACCAGGACTAAACCAGGACTGAACCAAGACTGAACCAGGATTAAACAAGGACTGAACCAAGGACTAAACCAGGACTAAATCAGACTGAACCAAGGGACTAAACCAGGACTAAAACCAGGACTAAACCAGGTCTAAACCAGGTCTAAACCAGGACTAAAAACCAAGTCTAAACCAGAACTAAACAAAGACTAAACCAGGACTGAACCAGGGACTAAACCAGACTAAACCAGGACTAAACCAGGACTAAACCAAGTCTAAACCAGGTCTAAACCAGGACTAAAAACCAAGTCTAAACCAGAACTAAACAAAGAAAACAGGACTGAACCAGAACTAACCAGGACTAAATCAGGAAAACAGGTAAACCAGTCTAAACCAGATCTAAACAAGTCTAAACTAGAACTGAACCAGGTCTAAACCAGGTCTAAACCACTGAACCAGGAACCAGACTAAACCAGGTAAACCAGGTCTAAACCAGGACTAAACCAGGTCAAACCAGGTAAACTAGGAACCAGGACTAAACCAGGTCTAAACCTACACCAGATCTAAACAAGGTCTAAACCAGGACTAAACCAGGACTAACCAGAAACCAGGACTGAACCAGGACTAAACCAGTCTAAACCAAGTCTAAACCAGTCTAAACAGGAAACTAAACCAGACTGAACCAGAACTAAACCAGGACTAAACCAAGGACTGAACCAGGACTAAACATGACTGAAACAGACTAAAACCAGGTCTAAACCAGGTCTAAACTAGACTAAACTAAGGACTAACCAGGACTAAACAGGATCTAAACGGTCTAAACCAGGACTAAACCAGGACTGAACCAAGGACTAAACCAAGGACTAAACCAGGACTAAACCAGGACTGACCAAGGACTAAACCAGGACTAAACCAGGTCTAAACCAGGTCTAAACTAGACAGAACCAGGACTAAACCAGGACTGAAACCAATGACTGAAAACAGGACTAAACCAGGTCTAAACCAGTCTAAACTAGATCTAAACAGGACTAAACCAGACTAAACCAGTCTAAATCAAGTCTAAACCAGGACTAAACCAGGACTGACAAAAACCAAACCAGGACTAAACCAGGACTGAAACCAACTAAACCAGGTAAACAGGACTAAACCAGGACTAAACCAGGACTAAACCAGGACTAAACCAGGAAAACCAGGGACTAAACCAGGACTAAACCAGACTAACCAGACTAAAACCTAAACAGGACTAAACCAGACTAAACCAGGACTAAACAGGACTAACCAGGGACTAACCAGATTAAACAAGGACTGAACCAAGGACTAAACCAGGACTAAAATCAGGACTGAACCAAGGACTAAACCAGGACTAAACAGGACTAAACCAGGACTAAACCAAGTCTAAACCAGGTCTAAACCAGGACTAAAAACCAAGTCTAAACCAGAACTAAACAAAGACTAAACCAGGACTGAACCAGAACTAAACCAGGACTAAAACAGTGTAAACCAGGTCTAAACCAGATCTAAACAAGGTCTAAACTAGAACTGAACCAGGACTAAACCAGGTCTAAACCAGGTCTAAACCAGGACTGAACCAGGACTAAACCAGGACTAAACCAGGACTAAACCAGGTCTAAACCAGGACTAAACCAGGACTAAACCAGGTCTAAACTAGGTCTAAACCAGGTCTAAACTAGAACTGAACCAGGACTAAACCAGGTCTAAATCAGGTCTACACCAGATCTAAACAAGGTCTAAACCAGGACTAAACCAGGACTGAAACCAGGTCTAAACCAGGACTAAACCAGCACTAAACCAGGTCTAAACCAGGACTAAAAACCAAGTCTAAACCAAGTCTAAACCCAGGACTAAACCAGGACTAAACCAGGACTGAACCAGGACTAAACCAGGACTAAACCAAGGACTGAACCAGGGGACTAAACCAGGACTAAAACCAAGGACTGAACCAGGACTAAACAGACTAAACCAGGACTAAACCAAGGACTGAACCAGGACTAAACCAGGACTAAACCAAGGAGAACCAGGACTAAACCAGGACTAACTAAACCAAGACTAAAACCAGACTAAAACCAGGACTAAACCAGGACTGAACCAGGGACTAAAACCAATACTAAACCAGGACTAAACCAGGACTAAACCAGGACTAAACCAAGTCTAAACCAGGTCTAAACCAGGACTAAAAACCAAGTCTAAACCAGGTCTAAGCCAGTCTAAACAAGTCTAAACCAGGTCTAAACCAGAACTAAACCGGTCTAAACAGGTCTAAAAACCAGAACCAGGTCTAAACCAGGTCAAACCAGGTCTAAACCAGGTCTAACGCAGAACTAAACCAAAGACTAAACCAGGACTGAACCAGAACTAAACCAGTCTAAACCAGGTCTAAACCAGGTCTAAACCAGGTCTAAACCAGATCTAAACCAGATCTAAACAAGGTCTAAACCAGGTCTAAACCAGGTCTAAACCAGGACTAAACCAGGTCTAAACCAGGACTAAACCAGGTCTAAACCAGGTCTAAACCAGGTCTAAACCAGGTCTAAACCAGGTCTAAACCAGGTCTAAACCAGATCTAAACCGGGTCCACAGCCCCTCCGCTCTCACCTTGGGGCATGCTGATCTTCTCTCCGTTCTTGGCCTTGAGCTTGTGCTTCTTGAAGGTGCCTTTCCTCTTCTTGACGTTGGGCTTCTCCTGGTTGTGGTTGAGGTGGAGGATGAGGAGGCTGAGCTCGCGTTCGAACACGTCCTGCTCCCACTGGGCCAGCTGCTGCTCGCGCTGCCGCAGGAACTCCTCGTGCGACTTCTGCTCCAGCGCCGCCCGCTTCAGCTCCTCCTCGCGGCAACGCAGCTCCTGACGCGACACACACACACACACACACGAGTGAAACGGGGAGAGTGAAACGGGGGACGAACGCGACGGGTCAAAAAAAGTCTGGACGCGAAAGGATTTGGTGCATGTTTTGTTTTGTTTTGTAAATGTCGATAAATAAAGATGCGAATTCAAGTTAAATACAAACCTGTTAACGTTAGTTCGACAGTTCAGGACTAAACCAGGACTGAACCAGGACTAAACCAGGACTAAACCAGGACTAAACCAGGATTAAACCAGGTCTAAACCAGGACTAAACCAGGACTGAACCAGGATTTAACCAGGATTTAACCAGGTCTAAACCAGGACTGAAACCAGGATTTAACCAGGTCTAAACCAGGACTGAACCAGGTCTAAACCAGGAATAAACCAGGTCCAGGTAAACCAGGACTGAACCAGGTCTAAACCAGGACTGAACCAGAACTAAACTGGGACTAGACGAGGTCTAAACCAGGACTAAACCAGGACTAATTTAAATATAAATATAAATGCTTCATATAATTATTTTTTTTAAATTGAAGAAAATCAAAAAATACAAGATGCAGACGTGTTATTAGATGTCAAAAAGTAATAATAATGGTTTAGACCCGGTTTAGTCCTGGTTTAGATCTGGTTTAGTCCTTGTTTAGATCTGGTTGAGACCTGGTTTAGACCTGGTTTAGACCTGGTTTAGTGGTTTAGACCTGGTTTAGACCTGGTTTAGACCTGTTTAGACCTGGTTTAGTCCTGGTTTAGACCTGGTTTAGACCTGGTTTAGTCCTGGTTTAGACCTGTCCTGGACCTGGTTTAGACCTGGTTTAGACCTGGTTTAGTCCTGGTTTAGTCCTGGTTTAGTCCTGGTTTAGACCAGGTATAGCCCAAAATGTGAAAACAGGAAAATCCCGCTGTGTAATCCATTTATTTCAACAAAGTAACTGTAATCCAATTACCACTCACTGAAACAGTAACTGTAACCGAATACAGTTACTCATCATTTGTACTCTGATTACATAACTCCGGTACATGTAATCTGTTACTCCCCAACACTGACCGTGACCTTAAAAGCCTTTCCACCAGTTTGAATCATACATATTTGCGATAAAAATGTACGTTGTGCCATAAACGCTGTCGGGGCCAAGTCCTGACGGCAGGATCATGTGATTATGATCGGCCGGTATGTGTTAACCGTGTATTAAGAACGTGGCAGCTGTTGTTCTTATCACGTCTGTGTCGTTTTACACCTCCGCGAGAAAATGCGTCACGACTCTGGGCTACGGTGGCCTGACGGGGTCAAGCGGGACAAAAGGTGGACACTGTTACTCGTGAGGTTTTATACATGGATTTGTGCAGATGTTCGTAGACTCATTTACCGATTTACGAATAGTGTTGGGAAGGTGACTTTTAAAATGTAATCCCCTACAGATTACAGATTACACACACACCGAAAATGTAGTTTGTAACGTAATCCATTAAATTACTTAAAGTGAGTAATGTAATCTGAGTACTTTGGATTACTTGATATCGTCGTGCTTTTTTAAAACGACATGAATGTAGCGACCACATCCTGATAGAGAAATTATTTTTATATGAGACACTGCAGCCTTCAGCTATGTCCACACCACTGTTAATGTCATATTGTTTAGACCTGGTTTAGTCCTGGTTTAGACCTGGTTTAGTCCTGGTTTTAGACTTGGTTTAGACCTCCTGGTTTTAGACCTGGTTTAGGTTTAGTCCTGGTTTTAGACCTGGTTTAGGGTTTAGTCCTGGTTTTAGACCTGGTTTAGTCCTGGTTTTAGACCTGGTTTAGTTTAGTCCTGGTTTTAGACTTGGTTTTAGTCCTGGTTTAGACCTGGTTTAGTTTTCCTGGTTTTAGACCTGGTTTAGTCCTGGTTTTTAGACTTGGTTTAGTCCTGGTTTTAGACCTGGTTTTAGACCTGGTTTAGTCCTGGTTTTAGACCTGGTTTTAGTCCTGGTTTTAGACCTGGTTTAGTCCTGGTTTTAGACCTGGTTTTAGGTTTGTCCTGGTTTTAGTCCTGGTTTTGGTTTAGTCCTGGTTTAGTCCTGGTTTAGTTTTAGTCCTGGTTTTAGTCCTTGTTTTAGTCCTGGTTTTAGTCCTGGTTTTAGTCCTGGTTTTAGTCCTGGTTTTAGACCTTGGTTTAGTTCTGGTTTAGTTCTGGTTTAGTCCTGTTTTATTGTCTTGGTTTAGTTCTGGTTTAGTTCTGGTTTTAGACCTGGTTTTAGTCCTGGATTTAATCCTGGTTTTAGACCTGGTTTTAATCCTGGTTTTAGTCCTGGTTTAGACCTGATTTAGTCCTGGTTTTAGTCCTGGTTTAGCCCAAAATGTGAAAACAGGAAAATCCCTCTGTGTAATCCATTTATTTCAACAAAGTAACTGTAATCCAATTACCACTCACTGAAACAGTAACTGTAACTGAATACAGTTACTCATCATTTGTACTCTGATTACATAACTCTAGTACATGTAATCTGTTACTCCCCAACACTGTTTACGAAAGGAAAAACAGCTCAAATTGGGCATTAATTGTTCTGAATTCAAATATTCTCCTTCGAGTTTACGTGGAAATAATAATTCTGATTTGAGGTTTACAACCGACTTTGATCCAAAGTGTCCGGATCAGAAAAACTCATGTCATATAAACCCCAAAAATAACAATAAGTTCAAATATTTGTGCAGAGAAACACAAATCTATTACAGAAATCTTTTTTAATTGATGAACTCTTTCTTTTACAAAATATTATAATATTATGAACAACCTGAAACTTTAAGAAAAATGTAATTTTAACACAATGTTTTAACATGAACTTGTATGTAAATAGGAATAAGTCCATTTTTGTTGTAAAATCCTGCACTCGGCTCCACTTTTCTCATGTTGGACATTTTTCTGATGAGGGTGTCACGGTCAACAGTCAAAACGATCGTCCTTTAAGAGCGTTTGGAAAGAGACAAGTCTTCATTTGTGCTGCTCTGGTGGGAGGGGCCACGTACAGAGACGCTGGAGACGCTGCTGTGATAAACACCACAGAAAATTAACAAGATTTTAATAGAAAATATAATTAAAATATTTTAGTAGAAAATCAGCTGAGGGCCAGATTAAAGGTCTTGGAGGGCCGGATCTGGCCCCCGGGCCGCATGTTTGACACCTGTGCTCTAAACAAACAACAAAACTGTAGCTCTGTAACAAAATTTAGTAAAATATTTAAAAAAATACTTTTGGTGATATATTGATACAGTAATGCCCAATATAATCACATTAAACGATACGATATATTGATATTTTTGCACACGCCCAAATGCATCTGCTCTACAGTTCTAATCTCACACACCTGTGGATCATTCTGCTGTCATCTGGACATTTTAAATCACAATTTTGATCTAAAACGACGTCATAAAAGAACCAAGTGCACTGATTTCTGCCATAGAAAAACTGCCGTGTCCAATGACTTCGCCTCAAACATCGTCACAAAACAAAAGCAGCTGTGGGTCGAACGATAACTGCAGGTCACAAGGTCACGACACTGCAGAATCCTACATGCAGCGTCGGGGAGTAACAGATTACATGTACTGGAGTTATGTAATCAGAGTACAAATGATGAGTAACTGTATTCAGTTACAGTTACTGTTTCAGTGAGTGGGAATTGGATTACAGTTACTTTGTTGAAATAAATGGATTACACAGAGGGATTTTCCTGTTTTCACATTTTGGGCTAAACCAGGACTAAACCAGGTCTAAAACCAGGACTAAAACCAGGTCTAAAACCAGGACTAAACCAGGTCTAAACCAGGACTAAACTAAAACCAAGGGTCTAAAACCAGGTCTAAAACCAGGACTAAACCAGACTAAACCAGGTCTAAAAACCAAAAACTAAACCAGGTCTAAAACCAGGACTAAAACCAGGTGTAAACCAGGTCTAAACCCAGGTCCAAACCAGTCCTTAACCTGGTCTAAACCAGGTCTAAAACCAGGTCTAAAATAGGTCAAAACCAGGTCTAAACCTGGTCTAAACCTGGTCTAAACCAGGTCTAAACTAGGTCTAAACTAGGATTAAACCCAGGGCTAAACCAGGCCCAAACCAGTTCTTAACCCGGTCTAAAACCAGGTCTAAAATAGGTCTAAACCAGGACTAAAGCAGGACTAAAGCAGGACTAAAACCTGGTCTAAACCAGGATTAAACCAGGTCTAAAACAGGACTAAGCCAGGATTTAACAGGACTAAACCATTCTGCGCGGACGTGTCTCCTCTTCTTCTATCAATAATATTTTTAATTTGGTTAATTAAAGTCTGGGCTTTTTATTTTCTTTTATCAGACAAAACATCTTATGTGAAGATTTCCTCGTCTTTGTTTCTCTACAGCAAATCAAGTAATCCAAAGTATTCAGATTACATTACTCACTTTAAGTAATTTAATGGATTACGTTACAAACTACATTTTGGTGTATGTAATCTGTAATCTGTAGGGGATTACATTTTAAAAGTCACCTTCCCAACACTGCCTGTATGTATCACCGATTAAGAAACGAAAATTTAAAAAACGAAGTAAGAGCAGAGCAGCGGAGGCCATGAAAACAGGGGTTGATCTGCTCTTGAAAATAAAAGATTAAAGATGCTTAAACATGCTCCAATCACACTAACTACACCACAAAAAAAAAAAAAAAGCTTGGCTCTGTCAGAAAACAACTTAAAAGTAGTTTTTGAAAAGTTTTGTTTACTGCTTACAAGGAATTTATTTTTTAGAACATTTCATACATTTGTTGTTTATTTGGGAATATTTTATTTAACTTATTAGTGTTACCAAGCAGCACTTTGCATTTATTTTATTTTCTCGTTTGTATAACATCAAAACAAATAAACAACACGTAAATAGTTTTGCATTTTGTTCCCAAACTGAAGCGAAAATGAACCCAACCGTGGCCTCAAAACCCGAGGTTCTTACCGAACCCCGACTGGTCATGGTTCAAGAATTCTGACACACATTTCCATACCTTCTATATAAAAACATTAAATTATATATATTTATTTTTTCCTATTCACATGAAGAGTCAGGCCGTAAAGCTGCTCTGTGTCACTTTTCTCCATGGAGATGTTACTGCTTTGTCTTGAATGTTCCACAGTCTGGCATTTAACTTACAAACTACAGGTCATATCTGTGGAGAGGCAATCGCTTTCACAGTAAGAGTGATGTTTTTCAAGGAGCTGAACTTAGTAATAAAAGCAAAATGAATGTCATAGGTCATATTGCGGAACATTCCAGGCAATGCAAAAGAATCTCCACAGACACAATCAGTGTTGGGAGTAAAGCGTTAGAAAAGTAATGTTTTACAGTAATGTGTTGCTTTTTGCTGTAACAGTAATGTTCAGCATTACAGGGATAAAAAAATAATATTTTACTCGGTGCAAATGTGAGTAACGTGCGTTTCAAAGCTTTTTTAACCTGGAATAAAGTGGTGGGTTTTTCTTCATAGAAATTTGCTAAAATCACCACGATATCAGCAGCAGTGAAACGCTGCAGACGCGGCCGTGTAGACCTTCAGTTAACCGCGGGTGAAAGGACCAACACAGAACTCTACGCTGTTTAGACCTGGTTTAGACCTGGGTCACTTCTGGTTTAGACCTGGTTTAGACCTGGGTCACTTCTGGTTTAGACCTGGTTTATAGTCGTCCCTCGCTCTGTCGCGCTTTCACCTTTCGCGGTCTCGCTGTTTCACGGATTTTTTTTGTACAATTTTGTTTTTACAGTGTATGAACACGTATTGCATTCCTCCCGCTGCGTCCTGATTGGCTGAGGGACTCCTGTCTCCTGTACAGTACAGAATGTGTTCAGCCAAATTTAAATACATGTTCAATCTCTAGCAGTGTGATTCTGAAGTGCTGTATGTCTGCAAGTTTTCTCCCCGACAAAATCCACAACGTCGACGAAACGTTCTGCACCGACAAAGGCTCCTGCGCTCACACCCAAAAGACAGAGGAAGATGTAACCATCACACAAAAAGTTGGACTTCTGGACACGTTGAAGGAAGAGAGAAGTTACGCGCTGCAGCAGAGTTTTGCACCGGGTCGGGTCCCCGCAAATAGTTGCTGAAATCAGGACTACGAGCTCACGGAGCAGCAGGGTGTTTATAAAGAGCGATCGGGTGACAGCCGCTCTTACCTCCGTGAGGTGCGGAGCAGAGCCGCTCCTTTTCCTGCGTCTCCTTCGAGCCCGTCCCCACAGTGAGTCCTGTTATAGTCCTAGTACAGTTCTGGTTTAGTCCTAGTTCAGGTCTGTTTTAGTCCTGGTTCAGTCCATATACGGCGCAAAAGTTCAGCATCTTCGTAGTAATTTTGTTGAGAGTAACTTAGAGTAATGCAATAGTAATGTAATGTCTTACATTTTAAACGCAGTGATATTGTAATGTAACAAATTACTTTGAAATGACAGTAATAAGTCATAAAAAACGCATTACAGTTTTGAAGTCACTTGCCCAACAGTGGACACAAGCAGGTGAACACAAAAAGTTAGTGCACCTTTAATGAACATTTACATATTCACTTTCACACATTTTATGCCAAGAAATATTACTTTTTTAAATATTTTTGTGAATAACTCTAAATATAGATGTTGAATATAGAGCTCATAATAAGTTTTCATTTCCAGCCTCCTCACACTTTACATCGACCTGTGATTGAAAGTGAAGCGTGTTGCCGTGGTTACCTTCTCCTTGGCGCGGAGCTGGTCGAACATGTCCTGGATCTCGAGTTTCCAGTCGTCCTGCAGAGAGTGGAAGGACTCGGGGGGCATCTCCTCCTTCACCTGCTGCTCCAGGGCCAGCAGCTGCGACAGGATGGAGCTGAAGGTGGGCCGGCGGTGAGGGTCCTGGTCCCAGCACTCTGCACCACCACAACAAACACACGGACAAATAGACACGGTTAAAAGGTTTTATGAATGTTTCAGTGCAGATAATAGGAAGAAAGGACCGATTAGAAACACCGACGCACGAGAATCTGTCATTTGTTTTTCAAAATAAAACGAAAAATAAGGAAAAAGAACAACTATTTTCTTCATTATTTGTCTCCAAAACCAAAATGAAAAAAACTGAGACCAGGACTGAGACCAGGACAAGACCAGGACAAGACCAGGACTGAGACCGGGACTGAGACCGGGACTGAGACCAGTACTAAGACCGGGACCAGACCGAGACCAGACTGGGGCCAGACGAGGACTGAGACCAGGACCAGACCAGGACTGAGACCAGGACCAGACAAGGACTGAGACCAGGACCAGACCAGGACTAAGACCGGAACTAGACCGAGACCAGACTGGGACCAGACTGGGGCCAGACGAGGACTGAGACCAGGACCAGACCAGGATTGAGACTTGGACTGAGACCAGGACCAGACTGGAACCAGACCAGGACTGAGACCGGGACTGAGAGTGGGACTGAGACCAGGACCAGGCTGGGACCAGACAAGGACTGAGACCAGGACCATATCAGGACTGAGACCGAGACTGAGACCAGGACCAGACCAGACCGGGACAGAGACCAAGACTGAGACTGAGACCGGGACCAGACCAAGACCAGACCAGAACTGAATCCGAGACCAGACCGAGACTGAGACCGGAACTGAGACTGGGACCAGACCAGGACCAGACCAGGACTGAGACTGGGACTGAGACCGGGACCAAACTGGGACCAGACGAGGACTGGGACCATGACCAGACGAGGACTGAGACCGGGACCAGGCCAAGACCAGACCAGGACCACGATTTGTTTTTACAGTTTTCGATTTTGTGTTTAAATGAATAATGAAAAAAAACGTTTGTTTTCCGTTTCCGTGACTTAAACTGAGATGCCGAAGTTTTGCGTCACTAACGGACTGAACCAGGACTCAGCTAGGTCTAAACCAGGTCTAAAACCAGGTCTAAACCAGGACTTAACCGGTCTCAGTCCTGGTCTCAGTCCTGGTCTGGACCTGATCTCAGTTTTTTCATTTTGGTTTTGGAGACAAATAATGAAGAAAATTGATGTTTTTTTTTGTTTTTGTCATTTTCTTATTTTTGGTTTTATTTTGAAAAACGAGCGAATGACACACAGATTCTCCAGCCTTATACGAAAACCACTTTTTACTTTCACGTACATTTGAGAGCAGGTATCTGTACTTTCTACTCTACCACATTTTTGAACGAGACGGAAAAGTAAAAGTATTTTTTTATCACTGTCTGAGACTTTCTAAAAAGGTGGGTATTTTTTAACTTTTTTATTTTTGAGCAAACAAAAAATACAAATAAAAACAGCTAGAAAAAAACGATAAATTCAGTTGTTTCTTCTGAACAACATTCAACACAAATCTGTATCAAAATCAATTCATATGGAGCTTTAAAAGAAAAAATAAATGCATTAACGGGTACTTTAATACGATTTTTTTCATGTGATACTTTTACTTTTACTTGAGTAGTTTTGCTCCGGTATCTGTACATTTAAAATAATATTGCTTTAAAACAATAATACACTTAATATAATTTCTTTCAAACAACAAAAAAGAAGAACAAATGAAAAGACAGCATCAAAATAAAATAAATTAAGGGTTGACTCGTGACTCTTTTGACCCACAGCTCCCGTGAGTAATATAAAAATAAATATGATTTCACAGCAGGCAGGTTGGAGCAGGTTGAGGAAGGCGTATCTAAAGTCATTTCATCATTAGTTTATTGTTTCCCTGTGAACGAATGCATGAGTCAGATTGTAACAGGAGAGTATTTGTGCAGCTGGACATGAACGTCTCTGTGGTGTGGGACGGGCAGGTTGGGAAAAGAAAAAAAAGAAACATCGATCGCGTAACATTTCGAGATCTCGTGCCTCAAAGATCCCGCGAGACAAAAATGAGACACACCCTGAAAATGATCTCCTGACATTTATTTTCCCATGTTCGAATAAAATAAAACATATTCAGTCTGTAGAACAATTAAATCAAACACTAAGGCTGCGTTCAGACTGCAGCCTGAAGTGACCCAAATCTGATTTTTTGGCCCCTATGTGACCTGTATCTGATCTTTTAATGACCCAGGACACTTGGATATGTGCTCCTGAAACTGAAACATATCTGATCTTTTGACATGTGACTTCAGTCTGAACGGCCAAAGCGCATTCATCCACCTACACGTCATCAACAAGACACAAACGTCACTATTCTGCTGTTACGTCCCCTTTTCTAGGGGAGAAAGGGAAGTAACAAAAAATAAAACCAAGATGTAAAATGGAATAAATTAAATAATGTTTAATTAACAGGAATGTAAAGGTAAATTAAAGGTTGTATGGAGGATTTTTTGTTTTGTTTAAAATTGTCATTGAAAGTTTAAAATACCATTACAGAGACGCAAAAAAAAAGAAAGAATGAAAATCTATCAGTTGTGGACGTAGTGAGGCCAGATAAACATCAGCCAATAGAAAACGAGGCTCCCTCTTTTTCTATTGGCTGTTAGGTTGTCAGTCAAACTCCCTACATTTTTAGTGTAACTGACTCGTCGGCGCTCGGGGATTATGTGGTTTATGCGGCGGTTCTTTGAGGCTTTTTCAAACTGTAGCTCCCTCGCAATTCGCACAAAGTTTGTTGCGACGGCGGACGAGAATCCACGACCAGTTCGCCGCAAAAGAAAGTCCGAAGTCCTAAAATGTTTCTAGGCAGGTCACTTCAACAGTAATTCTGAACACGCACTGGATGTAAACAAATGTGATTTCTAGAGTAAAGAGGCGGGAGGAGATGTTTCTGCTGAGGAAGGTGGTGTCACACATGCGCAACATTTGAAAAAGGACTGTCGCTGTATTTCGCTTCCCTTAAAAAATCCTCTATACAACCTTTAACAAAACAGACTAAAATATACAGAAAACAACCGAAACTAAGAAACAGAACAACAGAATAAACAGAGTTTTGGGCCACAAAAGGGGTCACGCAGACTTACACAAAACGAGTGGTAAAACTTAGGGACACACGCGAAACCAAAAAACAAGTTCCCCAAATTAAACCACATAAACCCACAAACAGAATCGAGTGACCAAATCAAAAAAAGGCACAAAACAGAACTAAACTAAACTACATACACGAAAACCAAAACTGAACAGGTGCAGACAATCTCCTTAAATAGGGGGAGGTGGCTGCAGGTGAGGTGGGCGTCGACCTGCCCCACCAATCACAGACCAGGAATCAAGAGAAACTTGGCAAAAATCACACACACAAATTGGAACTAAAGCCTGGGGCCATAACATCTGTGCTGAAGTAGGCGAAAATTGTTAATAAACTCCGTGTCACTGAAGTGAAGCACATCACCACTCACCACTCTTGGCTCCGTCTCCACATCCACACGTTCCTTTTCAACGGACGTTGCTGTCCCACAAAAACACCACGACCAAAAACCTCGTCCTTCTCCTTCTCAATCTCCTCCTTAAAACAAGTAAGTTGTTCATGTTCTGGCTCCGGTACGAGAGGAACTTTAAAATCTCCAGGTGCTCGATGCTGCGTCCATGTTTGGACAACTTCTGTAAACACAGAGACGCTCGCTGCGGTTGACGTCGTCGTGTCTCCAGTGTCACATGCGGGACACTTTTGGGCCGTTTAACGTTCACACTGGAGTCACATACAAGTCGCATTTAACTGGAAATGTGAACGACCTCGCAAAAACATCGGATTTCACAAAAAAATCGGAATTGAGCGTTAAGCCCTGCAGTCTGAACGCAGCCTTAGTCACTGAGCAGGTGCACGCAGAAGCTAAAACTTATTGTGCCGACTCTTAACTTCAACTACAGCACGTTAACGGACATTCATGTACAACAACAGACCTAAATAAAACAGACTTGTTAACACAGGACGAGCCTAATGTGTCTGGCTCACAGCGAGGACTTGTTAACAAAAATGCACTTGAATAAACCACTGCTGAACCAAACACAACCAAAGCAATAAATAAAATGGATTATTAAGTCTCCGTAACAAAATTCTCCTTAAAAGTGATTTTAGTCACTGACTTACATTGGAATATTGTGTCTCGTCTCTCTGTGGCTGCTGCTGTGGCCTTGTGATTTTGGTCTTAAATGTTGGTATGAACCCGCAACACAGGATGCTGTTTGACTCTGAGGGAGCCGCTAACCCAGGGGTGGGCAAACTACGGCCCTTTAAACCTTATAATCTGGCCCGCCGAACTGGAATAAATTACAATAATAAACCTTGTTGATGTTTTATTTGTCATGCATTTCTGGCATTTCCCAGTAGATGGCGCACTATATATACGTTGAGGTGCGGTGTATTATGTTGGCCGCAATGCTTTATGGGTAAGTGTTCTTACAGGAGTTATTCGGATCATGAGTGAAGTAGTTGGTGTTCAAGATATAAGGCTGCACTGCTTCTGCTTTAAAGGTTGTATGGAGGATTTTTTTTAGTTTCAAACTGTCAGTGAAAGATTAAAATACCATTACAGAGACGCAGCAGCTTTGTAATTATGATGACCAAAAAAAAAAAGAATGAAAATCTATCAACTGTGGACGTGTTGAGGCCAGATAAACATCAGCCAATAGAAAACGAGGCTCCCTCATTTTCTATTGGCTGTTAGGTTGTCAATCAAACTCCCTAGTATAACTGACTCGTCGGAGCGCGGGGATTACGTGGTTTACGCAGTGGTTCTTAGAGGCTTTTTCGAACTGTCGCTTCCTCGCATTTCGCACAAAGTTTGTCGCGACGGCGGACGAGAATCCACGACCGGTTCGCCGCAAAAGAAAGTCCGTTTTTGAGGTCGCTGAAAGAAGAAGAGAAGTGGAAAAGTAGCAAAGCCAAACTGAGGTGATTCTTGGAGATCTCGTCCAGCGATGGCGCGACCGAAGCAGACGAAGGGTCTAAAAACTGACGCG